CGGCTGCACTAATTGCGTTTAAGTAGCCGACGGGTGCCCACCTTACCCTCCAGAAAGAAAGAGAGAAAGATGCACCTCAAACAGACATGGGGTGCGTAGAGAGGCGCTTACCTCGGTGTAGAAAAATCTCGATATGGGACCTCCAATATGTTACCGCTGTTGACCGGTGACAAGTTCTTGCTTCCCCGATGTTGAAGAATAACACCAAAGAAGCACGCCGATGCAAGGTCAGAGTAGAGATTAGAAATTTATTAAAGGACAGAAGAAAAGACTTCTCCCGGAGGAAGAAGGGGACCCAGGAGGTGGAATCCCTTTTTTTGATTCTGACGATTGAACTCAGGGGCACTTAACCACTGAGCCACATCCACAGCCCTATTTTGTATTTTATTTAGAGACAGGGTCTTACTGATCTGCTTAGCACTTTGTTTTTGCTGAGGCTGGCTTTGAACTCATCATCCTCCTGTCTCAGCCTCACAAGCCATTGGGATTACAGGAGTGCACCATCTCACCCAGAGCCCCTTTTAATTTTGCCATGTTCTGCAAATAAATTTGATAGGAAAAAAAATGACCAGAGTTTTCAATGAGATCAATTAAGTCCTTATTTCAAAGTTTTTTTAAATAACCTGGCTGGGGTGTCTAGCTTAGCATGTGTGAGGCCCTGGGTTTGATCCCTACTACCACCACATAAAAAAGCTAACATTTTAGGGTTGGGATATAGCTCAGTGGTAGAAGCACTTCCCTAGCATGTGTGAAGCCCTAGGTTTGATCCCCAGCACCACAAAACAAAAATAAAAAATCAGTGCTGGACACTGGAGAAGTATTTGCTCTTATACACTCTTTTTAAAAAATTATAATTTTTTAGTTATAGATGGGCACAATACCTTTTGTTTCATTTATTTATTTTTAGGTGGTACTGAGGATTGAATCCAGTGCCTTACTAGGCAAACGCTTTACCACTGAGCCACCACCGCAGCCTACCACGCGGCCTGCGCAATGGTTTCATTAATGAGGTTCTAGGCATAAAGTTAGTTAGAAGAGATCGAAATAAAACACACAGACTCAATTACCTTATTTCTATTGCCAGGTCCGAGACGGCTCCCCTCTCTGGTTCGCTCCTCTAACCGCCCAGCAGGGCAGCAAGGATTACTCAGGGCTAGCAGGAGAGAGAGAGTTTGAACACGCCTGGAGTAGCCTTTTATTGGGGAACAAGAGATTCAGGGGAGAATTCCATCCAATGAAGGTTGAGGGGGGGGCTGCACTCCAAGGTCAGGGTCAGTGATTGGGTCCCCGGGGTCAGTGGTCAGGCACACCCCCACACGGATGGGCTCTCTCATCAGGAAAGGGCCGGGAAAGTTCCAACACAGCCAAAACGCCTCAGACCCTTAATGGGAGCCACCCAATCACGTGTCAGAATGGCTTCCCACAGCAGCCCCTCTCATAGACTCTTAGTGGAAGATAATGTAATGCAAATATCATATCTCTTTAGGATAGTAAGGCAGTATATGTAAATATGGCATTTTATCTGGCTACTCTAGTCTAGGAATTTATCTTTATAAAATAATAAAATATATGCATAAACATGTATATAAGAATGTTAATTATGGCATGCTTATAAAAGTATTAGAGACATTTTTGCAGATTATGCAAATTATGGTAAACATTTGCAAAGAATTACTCTGCAGTTACTTTTTCAAGTGAGGCATAGATAGCTATAGGAAAGATACCTGTGATGTATATATGAAGAAAATCTATTTGAAGAATGTGAAGTATAATCTGACTTACATTAAAAAAAATATGGAAGTATTTTTAACATCTGGAAGGAGAAAGGAAAATAACATTGTCTATGAGTGGATAGGTTTATAGAATTTTTAAAAAATTGTCTTTGCTTCCTATTTTTCTATCACATGTATTGTTCTTATGATAACTATTATTTTTAAGTAGCTGGGCATGGTGGTGCATCCTGTAGTCCCAGAAACTTGGGAGGCTGAGGCAGGAGGTTTGTAAGTTCAAAGCCAGCCTCAGCAATTTAGCAAAACCCTCAGAAGCTTAGCAAGACCCTTTCTCAAAAAAAGTGTGTGTGTGTGTGTGTGTGTGTGTGTGTGTGTATGTGTGTGTGTGTGTAGGGGGAACTGAGGATGTGGTAGGGTTGTGGCTCAGTGACTAAGTGCCCCTGGGTTAAATACTCAGTACCTAAAAAAACGAAAAATTATTTTTGAGTAAAAAAATAAAAATAATAAAAGGGGGCTGGGATATATAGCTCAGTTGACAGAGTACTTGTCTTGTATGCATAAGGCCCTGGGTTCAATCTGCAGCTCAAAAACAAACAAACAAAATAATAATAAAAGATCCTTTTCTTTAATCACTGTATTCTTTTTGGCCAAAAACAAGACATAAAAACAAAAATTATTGTTCCTTTTTAGGAACAATGATGTTATTACAAATTACATGTGTTATTACCAAGTGTTTTTAAAAATGCAGTTAAAAATTCTTTTACTAAACTCATCTTTCCTCAGCCCCTGATATATTCTCTTCTCTTCTATGGATTCTATTTAGAGAAATCATAAATGCTTTTCTTCCCAAAGATTCCAAGGAGAACCCAATCCTTGGCGGACTATTTTTTGTTGAGTTAAATACAGTTTGTGTAGCCAAATGACTGTATGGGGTTCCATCTGGGAGGTGGGGCCCCACTCATTGGAAAGGTCAACTCAGTGCTAATTGTGGTCCAAAACTGGCAAATCAAGCTATAAGGCCAGCCTAGGAGGCATGAGCTGGGAGAGAACCACAAAACCCTAGCCCTGCAATTCAGTCCCAGCAAGAACTATGCCTGGATAAGAAATTAAAGCATCAGATCACCTCTCACTTTGAGTGAGTAGAGGTTTCCATCTAGAGGGGAAGAAAAAATTTCCCAGTGTGAGGAAACATTTAGGAAAAGAAGTCAGCTGTTCTGTAGGTGGTAGGAACTACCACATCACAATGATGGTGATAATGGCTAGTATTTGTTGAGTGACGATTTTTGTGTCCAGTACTGGATCTTACAGATATTTAACCGTTACAGAGAGATCCTGTGGGATAGCTAATACTGTTAGCATCCCCATTTTATTAGTGAAAACAATTGTAAGCAGGAAACACCAGCATAGGGAGGTTAAAAACCTGCCCAAAGCCACACAGTAAGAAAAAGGGTCAGGAATTGGTTTCAGTTAGTCTGGTTCAAGAGGTAGACTGTAAACCACAAAACTCACAATATCAAAACATTAGAATTGGTTGTGAGCTATTGCCTTCTGTTTGTCTCAATTTCAACTCAGAAAGATGGATAGTTTAATGCTGGTTACTTATAAGCAGGGTATAAATGAAATAATATTAGTCAGGGTTTACTGCCAGTCTGAGTTTATTGCTCTGTCTGAATTTAGAGGTTCAGGTGGAGAAAGTCGTTCCAGATTAACAAAATTGAGGTTTGAGTAATTGCTCATATGTGCCAGCACCTAATGACCTATGTTTGATACATAGGGATCCAGAGTTCCTGCCCTAATGGCACTCACAAACACTTTGAGTAAGCAAACTTCCAATGCAGCCAAGTAACCACTGGAAACTTACAGGTAACTCACAGAGCAACCAAGTAACCACAGGAATAGAGGGACATTGGGAGATGAAATGGTCAATTGCATAGTAGCAAGCCTGGCTCCTTAGTGATATCCAGGCCCGTACAAGGCTATCTCCCTGCCTCAGTGGGAAGGAATTTAGAGAAACTTAGAAAAATGAAACATTTTGAATGGGAAAAAAGAATAACAAAATTCACATCTATTTCAACTCAGGTTCAGTAGATTCTTGTACTCAGGACAAATGTCTAGTCAGCTAGATAAAGCAGGAACTGGAAGTCCTTAAGACAAAAGAAATTAAGTTTTTTTCAGCTGGGCATAGTGGTGCACACCTGTAATCCCAGTGGCTTGGGAGGCGGAGGCAGGAGGATTGTGAGTTCAAAGCCAGTCTCAGCAAAAACAAGGAGCTAAGCAACCCAGACACTGTCTCTAATCGAAAAGAAAGGGAGGAAGGAAGGAAGGAGCAATTAATGCCAGAGGGGGAGAGGTAGGAATCAGTGAAGCTTCACAGGGGAGGTGTCATTTGAAAGAAGTCTCACAAAGTTGGTGTTTGTTGAAACAGATAAAGGAGGGGACACCTGGAGGGCCTTTTAGCCAAGGATGGGGTGTGGGGAAATGCAGGCCATGAGGCTGAAAGGTAAGTTGTGTTGAGTTGTAGACAGGATGATATGTGAAGGATCTAGGGGGCAAATTTTAAGGAGGCACTCTCTCTCAGGCTTAGGCAAGAGTAGGGTTAGTATAGTGGTTGTGGCCAATAAGCAAAGAATTGACTTCAAAATCTCTTATATGGGTGATTTCCATTTTGAGAAGATATACTTTTCCTTATTCTATGTGAAACTAAAACTTTGGACATTATATATAAAAGAGCATATGTTTCAGACAAGTAGAATAATTCTGACTAATAGAGACCTTGAGAATCCAAGCAATGTCATGGTGGTGAATTCCCTGGGTTTTGTTTTTGCCTTATATTTCCACATTTGGGGCTGAAGGTGCCTGCAACTTGGAAACACCAGTGAGTTCAGGCAAAAGTCTCCAACAAACCATACTCTGTTTAACCAAAGGACCAGGAAATGGGCAGCCTAGCAAGACAGAAAACTTTTACGAAGTTTCTGCTGCATCCTGACAAACACAAGGTAAACTGTGACCTGACTCCAATCCCACTAGAAAAGACTGAGTGAATGTAGGGTGTAGACTTCACCAGACTGTATTCTCACCAGACTGTAAAATGGTGTCTCAAACTATTCTTCCATGCCTGGATGGTGTCAGAGAAGTCTCAGTAGAGCTGAGACTCAACCCTGGGTGGTAATAATTCTCCATCCATGTGGTATCAGTAGAGACCCTTGGGGAATTGAGATTTCCATCCTTACCCTATTGGTAATGAGATACCCTCCTACCCATCTGCTGGGGTAGCATCAGAAGGAGTCCTATTGGAAACTGCACTGTCTGGAAACCAAAGCCACAAGGAGATTTTTCTGTAATCTTCTCTGTAAGAACCTGGTTGAAGTCCTAGAGGCAAATCTCATGAAAATGTACCCCCGTCCCAACCAGAGAGTTGGGCCTCAGAGAGTTTTAATCTCTCAAAATAGTTCTCATTCAGCCTCCAGTAAGACATTAATTACCATTTAAATATTCCTACCAGTTGCTGGCTCTGATGGTGGATTCTGTTCCTGGTAAGCTGTAGTGCTTTTTATTCATCTGCCTACCCATTTTATTTCTTTTTATTTATTATTATTATTATTATTATTATTTGTGATGCCTTTTGCCCTGCTTGAATTCTCTGGTTGACTTCTGCAGAGTTGCTGATTTTTTAGTTTGTTCAGCATTTCTCTTGTTGTGAGGATGACAGTAACAATTCCCAAGCTCTTTATATGTGGGAACAAAAACTGAAAGTCCTGGGTTAATTTTTAGCCATTATTTTATTTATTTAGATTTGTTCTTCAGTTTGGGTAATCTCAATATATCTTTCAGTTCACTGAAGTTTTCATTGCTTATCCCTTTCTTGTGGGCCACACTTCCTTGTTTCTTTATATATCTTAAGTCTTTCTAAAATTTTGACATTTAAAATAATATATCATGGAGCCGGGTGCAGTATCGCACGCCTATAATCCCAGCGACTCTGGAGGCTGAGGCAGTAGGATTGTGAGTTCAAAGCTAGCTTCAGCAAAAGTGAGGTGCTAAGCAACTCAGTGAGATCCTATCTAAATAAAATGCAAAATCCCTGAAATCTACTGATTAGCTTAGTGGTCTCCTAACAAATGGGCAAATATTTCTTTAAATGTCTGGAAAAATGGAATACCCTGATCATTGTTGAGTGGCTTTGTTTGCATGTGAGGCATGCCTTCAAAGCTCAGCCAAACAGTTGAAAACTCTTCCTTGGCCTTTTCTTCCTGCTTGGGAAGAGCCTCAAGGTCAGCTCGAGGATATAGCTTTGGACTTAACCTTGAGCCTGCTCACAGTCCTGGACATGCATAAAGCCTTACACATATGCATGATCTCCTAGACTTCTGGGAACATGTTAGAGCTTTTCAAAATTCCTGCAGTTTTGGGATTTGGGAACATAATGTTTCCCCAGGTTTTCCTGTAAGCTTTTTTGGCCAATCTATCATTTGCCCCAAATGTTATCCACTACCTTAGGCAGGAAGTTAAAAGAAAATTGCCTGGAATAGTTTTTGCTGGGGTTCTGTTGGGAGAAGAATTATTACACTGGGTGATCTTCAGGTCAGGTCAGCTTTGCAAATGTGGTCTTAAAGGTAACCAGCAAAAAGTTCAAACAATGAGAGAGTTATTTGTTAATGAGGACTTGAAAGAGCTCCACCTTTGTTCTGTTTCTCTGATAGCTGCCCTGGAATGAGGCTGTTATTTCAAGGTTACTATGGAGCTAAAGAGCAAGTGATAGGACAATGCCACAGAGTTTGCTATTTATACTGATCTTTGGTTGTTTCTCTTAAATTAATGCTTTTTGGAATGCTGCAAGGCTTTAGTTGATTTCAAGAGTTAAAAATTTGTTCTTAAAAAATATTGCTCGACTTGTATTTGTTTTATGGAATGACGTTGTGGAAGTTCTTATGCCACCATTTTTGTTGACATCTACTGTGCTGTTCTTGATCTCATCCAGTTTGTAGCTAGAACAGTAAGGAAGTTGTAGTTAAAATAATTCCGTGCCTTTGCTGGATCAAAGTACCTTGAAATTATAGAATCCTGAATAAAGTGGGTAGCCTACTCAAATTACTTTGAGCCTTTTTATCTTGTCTATAAAGCTCGGTATGATACCAATGAACCTATATCTGAATCCTGTTAAATGGCTACATACTATTTCACAGGGTGGCTAAAATATAAAGTCTAAACAGTTTTCTGTAATTGACCTTTTAGATTCATGAGCATTTTTAGATATTATTCTCTCCACATTACTTCCCTTTTATTTTATCCAGATTTGCTTTGGATTAGCAATCAGAACTTAAGTTATTCTGATGGAAACAAAATCTGAAAATAGAAGATTGCGAGTCCCATGATGTAAGACAGTGTTTGGGTGATTCCGTTTCCATTGGTACTAAGCTATATCTGAGCATAGAATGGAATTCAGAACTTCATGAAAGAAGAACTGCTGTCTAGAGGGTTGATGTCACATAGCCTGTGTCCTCACTGACAGTGGCTATCCATTCTGCCAACTCTGGTGGAAGATTACACTTCTCAAAGTGAGTTCTTCAATACTGGATCTTAAGAATTAGAGTCTGCTTTATTAAATTAAAGGTTTCTGAAGTTCCTGATAAAGATGTCCTGTTTCATAAAATGTATTTTAATTGTAATTTTGTTTTTACTGCCAGACTTCATCCAGCCAAGAAGACTCAGAAGGTAGTGAGTATGCTTTGGTAATCAGATTGTTTTTCTATCTTAGGGATTACTTTTTCACAGTTTCAGAAAGACAGATTAAACACATTGATTATTCCAAATTAGATTTTTTTGGGAGGATTTACAATTTAGAATTTAGAAGGAATAAAGGCAGTTTTCAGTAGAAGAATGGAAAAACTTCTCCCCTCAAACATGCATTATTTACAAAATGGATTTGCAGATTCTCAGTACTGTCAGAACAATATGTTGTGAAACAGTCATTCCCATGGGAAACCTCTAGATCCAATGTTCAATGAGAGGTTAGTTCTGGCTGTGAAGGAGAACAGTTCAGAGGCCCGGGCACAAAGCCATTAGCTCCACTGCAGGCCTGATTGTTAATTAAGGGCCACCATAACCTATGAGAGGCAAAGAGTCTGTCCACTGGCTGTCTGTCCTTCTACTCACTCCTTCTGTCTGGGTTTTGAATCTCAGCTCTTTTCATACAGAAGTAAACCCTCTTACCCACCCCTGGCCAGGCTCAGCCTCTCTGGGAAGAGTCCCTCAAGGTTTACACACAGAGGATCTGTGCTTGGGTCTGTTCCTCCTCTCCTGAGGGAAGTGTGTGGAGGTTGCTGAGGGCAGGTGGGAGGGAAGCCACCCTCACTGCTTGCCTACACTTCTCTGCCCAGGTATGTTTAAGTCTTTTGACCTCCGCACGATAATTATGTTCGCCATTGGTAGCGGGATCCTGGCGGCCATGCTCATGCTGATAGGACTGGTCCTCTGTCTTTACGTCAAACTCTCCAAGGCACTGAAGTGAGTCACATGGGTTGAGTAAGCGCCCCTCAGATGGGACACCCGGGGCTCTGCTTGACTGATCATTCCTTGCTGCCCTGGTCTCTTCCTGTGTGAGGTTAAGAGCTACATTTTGCATGCATAGTAGTTGTAGGAGAGGAAAGGATGAGATAGGCACTCGGCACAGGGCCCAGAGAGTGTTCATCTAGGGCTGGTGTCATGTATGTGACTGGCTCCAACTCTGAACCTCCCAGATACCCCTGATAATTCTAAGAAATACACTATAAAGGAAAATTCTAAGGCCATGTTTTGTGTGTGTTTTTTCTTAAGAGCTGCAAAGGAATGCTGTTCAAACAAGTTCCAGAGTAAGGGAAACCCACCTAAAGGCATCACCGAGACTTCTCCTGCCCTCCAGTGCTGTGATGAATGTAGCATGTATACAGATTATGATTCCCTGCCACCTTGCCTTTGTGGCACAAATGAGGGACTCTGACATGGGGATGGTGGACATAAAAATCTTGAGCAATATTTCTTTCTTAGTGGAATGTTTTATTATTCAAGTCAAGTTCTATAGTGTTTACATTATACTACATACTATAAAATGTTATTTTATGTTATTTTAAATAAATGTACAATGTTGAAAATATTCCTCTCTTTCAGCATTTTTTCTTAGTTACACCTGCCTCTTATTTAAATATATTCATTACTTACTGTGAGACTTGGGTAAACAAGCATGTAATATTATATGGTAAAAGGAGAGAGAGAGACAGAGTAGAAAATAAAAGTGGCCCATACTTTTACAACCCCAAAAGGAAAGTGCACACCAACCTCAGGGTATTTCCAGTTTGAGCCACAACTGAACATGCCAAGTGAGAGCAATGTTTTCAGTTCTCCTTCTGAGGGCTTGCTTGTTCCCAGCTCTTCCACCAGGGATAGTTATGTCACAAGTCCTGAAGGGGATGCCATTCATTGAGAAAGAGTGAGAACAGACATATTGGACAGATCTGGGTTTAAGTTGTCTGAACTGTAATGATGGGGTGACCCAATGGCCTCAAAAGGGCATGTAGAAAGCCCGGGGTCCATCCTGCTGACCTCCTGACACTTTCAGAAGCAGGGTCCTCCTTTTCAGACCACTTTTCAGACCCATCAGTGCCCATTCAGCCATTAGCATCTTCAACTCTAACTGGAGCCTCCAGCCAAGGCCAAAGTCCAGATTTCCTTGACCACAGCATGGGCAGCAGGATACACCTTCTCACTGCTTTTGCTGCTTCTACTGAGCCTCTGTTATCTCTTCCTGAGCATGGACGTCCATCTGTAACCATGTTGTACTCCCTCGTTAAGAAAACTGTGGGTGTTGCAGCTGTACGTAAGATAAAGAACCATTCACTAGTGGCAGGGTCTGCCTCCTGGAGTGGGCTGAGGGGAGGAGCTGACTAGAAAGTGAAGGAAGCAGTTGCTTCCTCTAGGTCATGAGGGGCTAGAACTGGAACAAGGTGCCAGACGAGGGCCACCTGCTGCCTGGGCTTTAGTCCTTGGCGGGGGTCTGGCTGTCTCAGGAACACTCAGGACATTTGTGTTGGAGAAACAGGTGAGAGGTTGGTGGGCGTTTCTCCACTCTGCCGAAGCTGCCCTTAGGTAGTCAAGCAGCTCCCTGTGCTCCCCAGCCTCTGGGTTCTTTGAAGAGGCTGAGTCCAGGCTGCGACTCTTCTGGATGGTACCCTGAGATCCTCCATCTGAAAATGACCTGTCCTTCTTAAATTTCAAGAGCACCACAGCTCATCCCTCACCTCGCTTCAATTTTGTCCCCGATAACCTCTTAGCAGATGGAACACAGATAGCTGAGTCTCCTCTGAACTACCCTGTGACAGCCACGTGTCTGGACCTGGAGGCTGGTGGTGGTATGTCCCTATGGAGGTACTAGGCCTGTTCCAGGCATTCTAGGCACCACGAGGCAGTGAAACAAGTGGTCTTTAGAACCCCACCAGTGGGCAGGAGGACAGAGCATGCATACAAGTTTTTAGAGGCCCATCGATAGTTCCTATCCCACCTCTGCCTTCACCTGGGGCATTCCTTTGATGTCCCCCGGTCCCTTGATCTCTCGCTTTCCTTGATGTGAAGTGGGGACCAGGAGGATCTGTGAAAGATCACAGGCCACTCACTCAGTGGTGAGCAGGGAGTGAGGAGATCCTGACCATAGGAGAAGGGGAGCCCTTATTAGTAATTTGAATGGTCCCCTCCCTAGAGGCCTGTCCTCTACTCACTCTCACATTAGGACACACAATCCCTGTCTCTTCTGTGGCCACCCACCCTGAGAAGAGAGGAACCCAGCAAATCTGTGCAAAGATCTTGAGGGATGCCCAGCTCCTTGTGGGCATCACTATCTAGCCTTACAGGGGACTGCCTTGGTCCTTCAGCACCAGGTATGGGCCGACCTCTGACCTAGGGACCCAACAAGGAGTGGATGCCCTGGGGCACTGTCTAGGACCTGCCTTCCCCCAGAAAGCCCCTGTCCTGGGTCCTAGTGAAGGTTCCTGGGCTGCAGAGCCATAAGAGCAACACAGAAGGGTGCAGGGTGGCTAGGAAGGTTCCCACCTAGGAAACCCAGGCTCTACCCATCTCAAAGCTCCACAGGGATTCCTTAAGATTTAGTCTCAGGAGATTCCTTAAGAATTAGTCCCACTCCACCAAAAAGTTCCATGCAGTTTAGAACAAAATCCAAACAGCTCCCCTGCCACACAGGTCTTTCCCCGGACCATCCCCTGCTTTCCCTCCCTCCCCTCTAGAGTTCCTTCCCCATCACTCAGGTCCAGCTACGCTGTCTCCTTCCTTCCCGAGTGCTAAGGAATTGCCCAGCTGGTTCCCGTGCAGGGCCTTTGCTCCTGCCCCTTGCCTACAATGCAACCTTCAAGCCAGATGGAACAGGAACGCCTCCCTCCTGTCTCTGTGCTCAGATCTCATCTTCTCACGATGCCTTCTGCCCACCAGACATTGTGCCCTCCCCACTTACAGCAGCCACTCTATCCAATCACCTTGTGGAAAAGATGGAAAAGAAAATGAAAATTTGTTGCTATATAAGTGGAGGTTTTGATCTTTGGAAAGATGTCTATTCTGGTCCTTTGCATTTTTAATTGGATCCTTTAAGTTATTGAATTGTAAGAATCCATTCCTTCTAAAGCTGTATACAAAATACCTCTCCCTCTCTGAATTTTAATTTATATTTGTGTGTATGTGTGTTGTCTGTCTCCCCATTTAGAGTGCAGGTTTCAGGAAGGCAGGCGCTGTATCTCTTGTGTTCAATTGTGTGTTCCCAAGCCCTAGAACAGCAGGCAATGGACATTTGCAGAATGAATGGGTAGAAAGAGGACAGCCCTCTTCACACAGACACTTGCTCTTCCTAGACTCAATCTAGCCACCAGGATTCCTTTCTTTGAGCAGCAAAGGACCAGTGCCAGAGGGGCTCTGACCCACCTGCTTCAGCTTCTGCAGACAAAACCATTTAGAAGCTCCTGCACTTTCTTTTCCTCCCTGTCTTCTGTCCTCTCCTCTCACCTACCCTAGTAGGTATTGAGTGGCCCAGAGTCCTCTCAGGTGCCATATAACCCCTTGGTCCCACTGAGTTTTGGACCCCCTAAGACTTTCATTACTGGGGAAGAGCAGTGGAGGCCTAAATTGTCACCTGTGCCACCCCACTGGTGATCCTTACAAACAGGCCAAGGCTAAAGACCAGGTCATTTCCCTGAGGAATTACTCCAGTGCCAACCCGGCCAGATGCTGAGGCCTATAAAGAGCTCAGGCTGGGCGCTGCCTGCAGCCCTTCCAGGAATGAGCCTGGGAGCAGACACTCACTGCTGGGGACCGCTGGCAATAGTGCAGTCACACAGCTGCTGTGTTCTCACCTACATCAGCCCTTGTGCTGCCAAACTGACACGTTTCCCTAGAGGTGGCCTGATAGCTTATGAAACCAGATGGTTGCGAAACAGAGAGATATAAAAGCCTGCTAGCCTCAGGGGCTGCCTGGCCCCTTATAAACATGGAGGTTGCAGGAAGACTCATTGTTTCGGCTCTTTTAATTGCCTCCAGTTTGGCAGAGTTGAATTCAACGGAGCCTCAAGGTAAGAAAATTGAACCAGATTTCTCAGTGCAAGCGGGAAGAACTTCTATCACCAGGCTTCTTCCAGAATGTCACGTTTTCCTATCTGCCATTGGCTCCAATGCAGAAAAAAAAAATCTAATCTAATATTGTAGGTGGGATTCAGAGTTAGTACTAATTTTACTCAGGCTTATATGACAATGTACATGGAAAGATATAAAACACATAGAATTACACTGGGCAAGTTTTCTAGTAAGAGAGTTTATCTTCAGAAAAGAATCAGAGTACATGATATATACACGGTGTGTATGTGTATTTATATAACTAAAACACAATATAAATTTCCAACATTTATTTTGTTATAGTGAATCCAACAAATAACACTGGCAAATTTTTAAAAATCTATGAGAAAAGGATCTACAAGAAAGCATTTATTATAAGAGGGAAAGTAATTATTTTAAATTTGTACAATATGATGTTATGTTACACATGCATTCAAGCACTTCAGAAATTTGGAAAGAGAAGAGGAAAGAGTCCAGATGTGTTCCCAGAAAGGATTTAATGATGATTGGTTCTGGTGGATGGGATTGTGGGATCAGACTTTTTTTCTTGATTGTCTTTTCTTTTTGATTTTTCCTAATGAACATACTATTAATAATTACTGTTAGGTAAAACAAAATAAAGACGATTGTTGTGAGGACATTTCAACTCATCTGAGATGGAAAAGAAAACAAGAAGTTTGTTGTTTTATAAGTGGAGGTTTTGATCTTTGGAAAAATGTCTATGCTAACCCTTTGTCTTTTTAATTAGATTCTTATTGAATTGTAAGAATCCTTTACACATTCTGGATATAAAGATTCCATTTAAAACTGTCTTTCTTCAAATGTTACTATAGTTGCTTTTATGGACCATTTGAAGGGAAATTACAATTTCTCCCTAGTCCTCCAAGGCGGAAAAATCAATTGCTTACAGCTTAGTCTGGAGGGAGCAAAAAGCCCTTTGCAGTCAGCTGCATGCTTGTATGAATATTTAATGTAGGAGGTAGGTACTAGTCGCTATTAGAGGGTCAGGGCCTGAGGACATTCCTCAACACGAGGTGTGGTCTCTACCAGGCAGATCAACCTGCACTGCCAGTCTGGGAGGAGCCAATCTGGCAGAGACCCACAAAGCCCTGATCCTGAAACTCAATGCTGCTGAGAACTGCACTTGGACCATAGAGAGACCAGAAAACAAGAGCATCAGAATCATCTTCTCCCACGTCCAGTAAGTAGAGCCTTCAGTTTCCTATCAAGTGTGCTTGACCTTTGGCTCAATGGAGTATGGGGGAAGTCTCTCTGTGGAAAGAATTCAGCCATCACTGGAGGTGGTAGTAATTCTAATGATGATGGTGATGATGATGATGGTGATGATGGCTGATAGTTACCCATGGAGACCACATGCT